AAACAAAAAAAAAAAAAAAAAAGATACAAAAGATATACATACAACCAATAAACAGAAATATGCTCCACATATTTAGTCATCAGAAAAATGCATATTTAAACTAAGAGATATACTAAATACTATTTCACATCCAGGAAAATGTAACTAAAGGCAACGAATATATGCAAGTTTTGCTGACAAAGTAGAGCAGCAGGAGTTCTGCTAAGATACAAGTGGACCAGCCCCTTTGGAAGCAGGTTACAGGATTCCCATAGACTGAATATACATGTACTATACAACCCAGCAATTACTCAACCTTGATACTTACTTGGGAGCAATTAAAATATATGTTTATACAAATATGTGCCCATGTGTGTGAGATAGGTCCTGGTAGGTCTATTCATAAAACTCTAGAAACAGTCCAATTGTCCACCACTGGTGACAGGAAAAGAAACCCACAGTATACACAGACAACATTGTATTGCTTAGGAAGACAAAACTACTAAACAGGCCACAGAGAACAAGCTCAGGGACACTATCTGAGCAAAGGAAGCCAGATACAAACCAGTACACCAGATGCTCTACAGCAAGCTAAATTAAAAGTACAACCATGGAAATCAGATTTATGGTTACATGAAGAAGGATTTGGTAAGAAGACACTATGAAGGACACACAATTCTGCAGAGATGGAAACATTCTGCACCTTGAATGCAGTGCTGGTGACCCTGGTCACAGCTCAAGGAATGGTACACGTAAGATTGGGCACTGTCATACATAAGCTCAACTTCAATGTGAAAAGTAAGCTCAGGATGAGAGGGGAAAACGTGGAGCTACACCAATGTCCTAAGATTTTTAAAAACCCGAAATTCAGGGAGGGGTTAGAAATAATTCCAGTGAAAAAGAAAGTTTCAAACAGTATTTCTCTGGGACGACACTTTAGTTTTTTGTTTGTTTGTTTGTTTTCCCCCATACTGGGGATAGAACTCAGGACCTTGCGCTTATGAGGCAGGCACAGTGCCACTGAACTAAATACCGGCCCTGGGAGGACACTTTAGCACCAGACCCTTTTTGATTAATGACAAGGGAAACAAATTTAACTCCAAGACTTTCTGATTTCAATTAGTGAGACTACATATTGTTCACAGATGTACGCTGAAATGCCCGAGAGGGGAAGGGAGACTGATGTTTCTCCAATGGTGCTGAAAGAGCTCCGGGGGGGGGGGGGACTCACTGTGACTCTGCAGCAGCAAGAAAGGCCAAGGGCCCACAGACAGCTCACTCGCCCTGGTCCCTGGCTAGCTATTTACTTAGGTCAAAGTGACAGGATGGTCAACTCTCAGAACACATGGACACTGAGTGCTGGAAATAGCACTCATTCCACCCAACAGTTGTGGACTCCGGCTCAGAGTTTTCAATCCAGAGTCACGAAAACTGCTGAACCTGAGGTAATAAATGGCCCACAATTTAAGGGACATCTTACTATATTGTCAGTGAACACGTTCTCAGGCTAAGACATATTCTGGAAATAGTACAATCTCAAGTGATGAAACTTATCACAATAATATCGAATTCAGGCATTTCTCAGGACTGGGTGTTCCCTGCTGCCTGTCTTCAGGAGCGCCACAAATAACCTAATTCCAATTAACAGCAACCCCTTTAAACCCACCACAAATACAACTCCTGAGTAGAGTTAAGAAACAGGTAAAACCTGGCATTTTGGGTAAGAAGTCAGACTGACTGTTCATTCTTTTCCTACCTTAACATGAAAATATTTTTACTTCCCTGAAATGTAAGTATGTACTTTACAGCTTAGTCTGGGTATACTTCAGCTCCAAGAAGATAAAAAGACACAGTAACTCAAATAATACTTCAACGAAAACTGATTAAAAATTATGAGACTGGAGGGGACGGGGATTTAGCTCAGCAGTTTGGTGGCCTGTCTTGCAAGCGCAAGGACCTGAGTTCAATCCCCGGTAAAAAAAAAAAAAAAAAAAAAAAAAAAAAAAAAAAATTATGAGACTGGAAATTCACTGTTGTCCTCTCTCATTAAGTTCTGGTTTGAGAAGCTAGTAAGAATTGTTTTCCAGTCAAAATAAAAATCTGCCAAGAACACATTCATAAAGGTCACCACCATTTTGCTTTGTTCCAGGTCAAAAGGAAACATGAAATTTTGGAAAGTGGAAATGGTATATAGAAGGCATGACCAATAACATAATTTCACAATTCATGAGTTCCTACCTAATGGTATCACTTCAATGCCTTTTCTTCTAGAAATAGGAGTTTTTCTTACCTTTACTGATATAGATGGTTTCACTTTCTTAAAAGCTTCTTCAAAGTGTGCATGACTAATCTTGAGCTCACCTGCAGAGCAAATTCACATATATCACAGTAGGTTCTATTAACTGAGTTATATGTTAGTTTTTCTTGGAAAACATCAAGGCTTCCAGAGAACACGGAGATCAGGGACAGGACTGGCTCTTCTTCATCATAATAATGAAACTGGTTAATATTTTGCTTATAATACAGTACCAATCAAAGGTACTTTATCATTCCTAAGTAGGTAATACTTTGGTTGATCCTCTCTGTACTATTTAATTCAAGAATGATATTTATGAAAAAGAACCAGAGTTGTTAGTACAATTCAAATAAATTTAACTGAGAATACAACAGTTTTCCATAGTACATATTTAAGAGCACATTAAGATTCACAGTATTTAGATTTTAGGGAGTTATAATACCGTGATTTGTTTTATACAAACATAAAATATCACAATACTGTATTAGGGATTATAATTCTTTAGTAAGAGAAAGTTGCTAACTTAAACATGGTTTAGAGGATGTTCATATGGTAACTAATGTGATGAGAACTTTAACTTAACTTAAACTTTTCACACAGACATTACCACAGTAAATTTGTCTAAATATAAAGTGTGTTGCTGAATGTTTCAAATAAAAATTGGATGGCATTACTGACTTTGGTTTTATTTAGCATAAAGAACAGATAGCTAGAAATGAAAACTACAACAAAGCAAGGACATCCTCCAAACACAATTATTAGTGGCAGCACCAATACATGCACAGGGCCTGTTAATTTTTCAAAGCTAAATATATGAAGAGAATGACAAAATTTAGCCCTCAGGTAGTATACCTGATTTTTAAATTTTTCAAAAAATTATAATTTTGCTTATTTATATCTTTCCTGACTCTAGAACTCATTTCATATACAGCAAAAGATGCTGAGATAACTGAATCACAAAACTAACCAACAAAAAACACAGGAAAAAATGAATACATGTATGTGTACAAATGTAAGCATATGCTGATGTAAGTGTAAACAAAACTGAACTCTAAGATTCTTGGCAGCCCAAGCCAAAAAGGGAAAACTGATACAGACACAAAATAGGATTTCCTTTAGAAATCTGTTGAATGAAAAACCAACAGACTGAAGTCCACAGCAATGCACAGGTGTAGAGCACAGTGGTCTTTAGAAAGATAAGAACTGTGCAGCTCTGCCAACAACTATAACCTGTAACAGGAGGGACAACCATCACAGGGTCCCAGCAGAGGGGAGGGGCTTTAGCACATGATGTAGCAGGAATGCAGGCACAAGTGAGCCTGTGTCCCCCACAAGCACCCAAAAAAGACACTGCCAAATACGAAGTGTGGTGCAAAGCTGTTGCAATGGCCCCAATCATCACACAGTCGAAAACACAGCTTGGAGTTTTCTTGCTTATTTCATTTTACAGTGCCGGAAACTGAGCCCAGGCCCATCACAAGCACTCCACCAGAGTGCTCAGGGTAAACACTGAGAAACACCCCCATCAATTTTCTATTGTGAAGGGAAAAGTCTCAATATATGGAAAGTTTTTGCGACATTCACTTCTCTTGTGTCACGTACTTCTAATCTCTCCAATTTAGGTTGTATTTTAATAGACAAGTAAATATCACCTTATAAAAGAGGGTTTTTAGACTGGTAAGCAGACCAAACTCATGAACTGTCTCTACCTGATCACTTCTAGATGATGATGAGATACAATGCTGTTTATTAGGGAAGTGCTGAATAGGTTTGCTATTCCTATAATTGAGAGGTTTTACCATACCACAGAGCAGTTTCTAAGGGTGGGGAAAATGGCACCTTCCTTATCACTGAAAAAGGATGCCAAAAAACATTCCCAGGGGCAACAGTGGTTTTAAGTATTCAGGTGAGATTCTGGAAAGAATTATACCTTTTCCATTTCCACACTTTTCTCTTGCCATTTCCTGTCTTAGGGCACACAGAGAAGCTTCTCGTACCAAAGCAGAGAGGTCTGCACCCCTGTAATAAAAGAAGTGTTATTATTAGATAACTGCAAAGGCCAGAAAGAAACCAGGCAGCAATTTTCTACTGTCCATGTGACACAATCAGGAAAAAGACCCACCAACAGGTGGGGAAACTTGATAAGGATACACACTGAAAAGAAGCTAGTTTTTTTTTTTTCTTTTTGTCTTTTCTATTTTATTATAGTTTATAGGCTCGACTTAGAAGAGGACCTTGGGGTACTTCCTATAGTTGAGTGGCTGTGAGGAGGTGGGCCCTGTCAGGGAGGCAGGTATGACCTGGAAAGGCACTTCTATCTCCAGATTCTCTGCTCTTGCTCCGCTTCCCGGCTGCCATGATGAGTGACTTTTCTCTGCCCAGGCCCTTCTGTTTGAGCTGGCTAAATATAGACTGGAACTTCTGAACTATGAGCCAAAATAAATCTTTCTTTCTTTAAGTTGTGAGTGTCTTGATACTGTGTCCCCGCAATGAGCAAAGTGACTAAGACACTCTTCTTTTTTTTCTTTGCAGTACTGGGGATTTAACCCTGGCCCATCACACTAAGTTATATCCACTGCCATCTTGCTATGTGTTTAAACTTACAATCTCTCTGCCTCAGCCTCCCAGAGTAGAAGGATCATATGCATGCACCACCAGCACTCAAGCTTTTAGGTTTCACTTAAAATGCTTCTAACCTTTAGATGTAAGGGATTTACAGAAGAAGCAGTGCAATAAAAAAACGAACATTTTCTTCCTCAGAGCTAAAGCAACTAAGGTTAATATAAAACATACAATGAGTAGAAATTCACACATTATTTCTTGCAATGCTTCACAAATAAAAGTTAAAGAGCTGAGTAACACATTCACATGTATATAATTATACAGTACATTGTCAACTGTGGCTGCAAGTTGAATAGCAGAAAATAAAAGCCCAGGGCTTCATGCATTGTGTTCAAGCTGAAGCTGAGTGGAGAAGTCCTGTTTCTGAGATTATTCCATGTGACAGCATGGAGACTCAGCATGGCCCTATGAGGAGGTCATGTCCAGTCACAGAACATGTTTATGACATAATGAACCCATACATCATATAAAATAATGATGCACAGAGCTTCACTAACCAAATCGTCTGCTTCTATTGGTTGAGAGGGCTGTAATACTTCAGAAAAAATATGCTACATAACTTTGTTCAATTTGCGGCCCACAGGCTGTACATGACTGTGTTATTCATTAATTATACATCTATGTACCCTTCCACTTGATGTGGCCCAGGCAAGCCATGAGTAACCAGTCAAGGGCTACAGGGTAGACACAGCCTGAAAATCTAACATCTATAGAATAAAAACAGGGAGCTGAATGCTGTGATAGTACCGTGTCTCTCAAAGGGTGATGACAGTGGCACTAAAAGCCAAAATGTGCATCATGAACTTTAACCTTCAGCCCTAGAGCTGCATACATGGATACCCTACTGGGAAAATCCACAAGACATGCCCAGGTTAAGTTCTACACAATGTCTGTAACTCCCTGGGAATCTTGTGATATATGAGCACCAAAAGCTCTAAATTACTCTTGAATCTTTTTCTTCCAAAGTAGTCCGATCATTTGACACATAGAATGACCACCATAGGGACAGAGGACAAACTCTTGGGCCCTTAACTTGCTCATCAAGGCATAATTTGTGTTTTCTTCTGAGGCAGCCAGGAACTTAAAAGTCTCCTGTCATTGCTGTAAATCTAGTCACCTTCCATTCCCTCAAAGCCTCCACAAAGCCAAGAGTGCTACAAGCAGAAATAAGCACCTTGGTGAGACTGAACTGTTTCTTGGAGGTATCCTGCAAAACCAAGACTGAGATGATGATCAGCCAGACATCACCTAATCATCATTTGCTAATCTGCAAAGCTGGTCTTGTTCTTTCATTAAGAGCCAGACTTATCCTTTCCATAATAACTTTGCCTAAAGCTCAAGTCACCTGCATGCTTTCACTTGTTTTCTAACTCTGCTCAATAAAACTACCTATGACTTATACTGACAGGTCCTGAAATTCTTTTCCTACATCAATGAGTTAAGAACCTACTCTGGACCACTGTGTCTCCCGAGGTTCCCAGTTCCTCTTTGGTGAGAGCTCCTTTTGGACTTTTATCTGGTGGCAATATGAAGGACATAGGTTAGATTCCCAATTAAGGATCTGTTCCAGGGAAGAGAAGGATGGTTCCATGCACCCCTCACCAGCCAACACACAATGACCATTTCCACCATCCCAGTTCCCAAAACTGGAAATGTTAAAAAACACTTTAAGATATACAGGGAAAAAATCCAATGACTACAACCATCACAAACCAATGAAATCCAATGACTACAACCATCACAAACCAGTGATGTGGCAGAAACATCACATTTCCTGCTCGCACTGTTACTGCAGGCTGTGTGACAGGGGCTGGGAAAATGCATTTAGAGGCCTGGAAAATGTGGCATGAAATACCTGCTCAAACATTCTCAAGGACAATTTGTGAAGGACAGAGAGGTGGTTATTAGGGAAGTTTGAGTGTCTGGGGACAACACGACAGGAGTCTCTGTTTTCCGGAATTCCATGGGAGAAGTACAGCCCAGCCAGTCTCCACATCAGCTTTGTGGGACCCCTTTGTCAGCCTCCCAACAATCTGGGGCAGATGGAGAACTATTCCCTGTAGGGTGAACTGGCTTGAGATTTAAATACTTACGAATAGCAATCACAGCGAAGATCACCAGCAATTGCTTCCAAACTTACATCTTCATCCAGGGGAGGTTTGGTGCCATTCTAAACAACAGAGAGACATGGTTATTCCTGGCACACTCAAGGTCCATGGGCATCCCAGTTATAGCAAAGTGGCCTGGCCTCTGACCTAAGGAAAGGAGCCAAGTCCTGGGCTGGTGCTGCAGAGAACCACCATTTTTGCTGAGAAGTGAGGGGAGGAAGCACACTTCGAGACTGAGAAGGCTAAAGGCAAATAGCTCAGGAAGTCTGAACAACTTGTTACAGTCAAAGCAAAAGCCAACCCTCGCTGCCAACAAAACCATCACAGCAGTCTTCCCCCAGGCTGATTAAACACAGCATACACTTGGGCAGCACTGAGTGCTGATCTGCACAGATGCTGAGTGCAGATGTGAACAGGCTGGGAAGGGAGCATTATACTGAGCCCAGCTGGCTGAGAATAAGCAGTAACCTGCTCTTCACTGAGAACCAGCCCTTCTGACCCAACAGATCTCACTGATTCACTCACTAAAACCCAACCTGACTTTGGAGTCTATTCCCCTTCAGCTTGTAAGAGATGCCAGAAATGACAACAATCAGATCAGTCTCAGATTTCTAACACACAGCACAATCCAGGCATGCAACAGTACACATCTGGTAATGTTCTTAGTGACTTACACTCCAGAGGCAAGCAACACAGTTTTAAATGACTTAAAACACCACTACAGTGATATCTCAACTGCAGTAGTTCAGAATTTAACTTTCAATTTCCCTCAGTTTACTCATATTTTGTGGAAATAAAAATGAGGAGGGGCAATGTCTTCAGTGATCACAGCAGCGCACTTTCCTCTGAGACAGAAGCCTGGCAAATATGAACAGCTACAGAAAAGATAGCAATCAGCCATCCTGAATTCCTACCTATTGTAACTGCAGGTAAGGAGAGAAACATCCCCAAAAATGTACCTCTTCCTTTACTTACTTTTGTGATAGTTTTTAAAATGGCAAGACGGTCTGCTGAGGGTGGCAAACCCACAAAGAGTGTTTTGT